ACAGTACCCCCCTCCGAGACCGGAGGCCGGCGAAAACGACGCCGAAGGATGTGTACAGGTCTAAAAGAAATGCGTGACCAACCGATCAGGAAAGTGTACATGACGACCACTACGAGTGATATATACAGGGTCCGTAGAAGAGTGAATAAATCTGGTGGCGGATGTGTTGGAGTTGGTGGTGGCAGTCGGAGATGGCGGACAGGAGGGCAGAGGGAAAATACGGGACGGTGGAATAGAGGCTCCGTGGGGGGAAGCAGAAGTTTGAGGACCACAGGGCTCATCCAGAGGAGTGTCAGGGACGGCAGCCTTGATGCGGTCCACACTCACGACCTCTTCAAGATTGTCGCGCTGAATGCGGAAAGTCTTCGGCCCGCGAGAGAGCACCCGAAATGGGCCGTCATAGGGCGGTTCCAGAGGCCGGCGGACTCGATCACATCGGAGATAGACGTGAGAGCACGTTGCCAAGTCCTTCTCGAGATAAGACGGAGAGGCGGAGGACCTGGGAGGAACCGGAGAAAGTGTCCGCATAAACTGCCGGAAACGATGCAGGAGGTTTGTAGGATCCTCAACTGCACCTTGAGGGGTTGGCGAGATCATCTCACCGGGGAGTCGGACGGTGGAGCCGAACACCAGTTCAGCTGCGGAACAGTCAAGGTCCGGCTTGAGAGCGGAGCGGATGCCCAAGAGGACCAGGGGAAGGTGATCCGTCCAGTTCTCCGGATCGGCTGCGGCGCGTAGGGAGGCCTTCAGCTGGCGGTGAAACCGCTCGACCATCCCGTTAGCAGCCGGGTGATAGGCTGTCGTCCGGATGCGGGTACAGCCTAAAAAGGAGAGTAAAGACTGGAAGAGATTAGATTCAAATTGGGCACCACGGTCAGTCGTGATTGTGGAGGGTGCACCAAAGATAGCAACCCAACGACTGAGAAAAGCCTTGACCACCGTTGGAGCAGCAATGTCAGGCAGGGGAATTGCTTCAGGCCACCGAGTAAACCGATCCACACAGGTGAGGAGATAGGAACAACCATTGGACAGAGGCAGGGGGCCTACAATGTCCAGGTGAACGTGGCTGAATCTTGCACCAGGGCCGGGGAAGGTACCAATGGGGGCCTTGTTGTGCCG